GAAATCACGCATATATCAATTGTCTGCCGACACTCCATGGTTAAATTCAGGGCTTGATCCCTGAATTTTCTTTAACTTTAAAACAAGCTCCAAGTTTTAAAATCTTTCAATTCAGTCCCAAATATTTGCCAAATTTTCACAATTAAACCCTCAAATTTTAATTAAATATTATTTTGAAAATCGGGTTGTTACAATATACGTTCAAAGCAAGTAGACATCAATGCCAAAACAGTATAGTTGAAGCACAAACTGCGATAGCTTCTTCTACAATCTCAGAAATATGGCACAGAAGACTGGGCCATCCAGCTCATGACACACTTGCTAAAGTGTGTAAACAATTCAATGTAAAAGCATTAGATGATATTAATAAAAACTGCATTGCTTGCCATCTTGGTAAAAGCCACAAGTTTCCATTTCCTTGCTCGGACAGTGTTTATGACAAACCATTTGAACTCGTTTATTCAGATTTGTGGGGACCTCCACATGTCTCATCCAATGGCTTTAGATTCTATATTTCATTTGTTGATGCTGCCACACGGTTCACGTGGCTGTATCTTCTGCTTTCCCCTGCTTTTTGCTTCCGCTGGTTGTGAGCCAACAAGACTGTAGTAATCTCCTCAACGTTGATAGTCTCTTTCCCATATGTAAGAGTAGTCACCATGTGTTTGTAAGAGGGAGGCAACGAACATAACAGAATCATCGCTCTGTCTTCATCCTCAATTTTCACATCAAGCCGAGCCAAATCAGAAACGATTTGATTGAAGACATTCACGTGTTACGCCAAATCATGATCGTCCTACATCTTCAGCCCATACAGTCGCTACTTTAGATACAGTTTTGTCGTTAAGGATTTGGACATAAACTGACTTTCCAACTTCCTCCAAATTTCGTCTGGAGACGACAGATGCATGACGTGATACATGACCTCGTCCGCCAAGCATAATCGTATGGTTCCTGCAGGTTGCTATTGTAATTCTTCCGAATCTTCCTCTTCCACCGACGCCAGCTTTGTAGGTCGCAAAGCCTTCAGGATCCCTTACTGCGCCAACAGATCCTTCACCCTCATTTGCCATAATCCGAAGTTACCTTGACCATCGAATTTCGCAACTTCAAATTTTACTCCTGACATCTGATACCAATTGTTGAAGAATCGGGTAAAGAAAATGAAAGAACACAAGAATTTTAACGAGGTTCAACAATATGCTTACGTCTTCGGTGCCTAGACGACGCTAGAAGTTTTATTCAATGTCTCATAATTTTAGGTTACATCTCTATTTATAATAAAAAACTTGATATATAATTATATAATTAACCATGTACCGTACTGCAGGGCTACGCCCGCGCACCCCCAACCCACATAATCGTAACCCCACTACGAGACTTTCTTTGTAAGGACAGTTGATGTTCGCTTCGCTCACTCCGCTCCATCCCCTGTCCTCTTTACCGGTATATTTATGAGCCATACCTAACAATATCATTTCATGTATTGCTTGTATATGTGTTTTTAAAATGTTTAAATATAGTCTTATAAACATGCACTTATTAAGTGATTGAAGACAAAGCTTATACACGTACCATCATTGTTGTCCGATCGGCTCGTGCTGGTGTCAATGACACATACCACATATTTTTTTATTTTAAATAAAATTTGTATAATTTGTGACCTCATATTTTTTATTTAGTCATAGATATGTTAATATTAGAAAAGTTGCCCTGATGATCTACCACATAAAAAAAGACACCCACTCCCTTTAAAAACGTCTTTCAAAAGACATTTCTATATAGATAATCTTTGTCAAAAGAGTACCCTTTTGATAAAAAATTGTAACGCCCTAAATTTCGGGCTAGTAGTTTTGGATTCACCCGAGAGGCAAGTGGACCCCTTAGATTTCATAATTTAAGTCGTTTGGCTTAATTAGGCTTGAATCGTACCCAATTAGTTGTAGAAAGGAGATTTTAAAATAGTAGAAGAATGAGGAAGGACCAAAAGTATTATTCCCCTATTTTTTAAAAAATAAAAGCTTTTTATATATCTTCATCTTTTTTTTTCTTCATTTCTTTTATTTTTCTCTCTTTTTTCTCTCCAAGTTTCATAAGTTAAAGGTAAATCCCTTGAGCCATTTCCTAATTCTTTTAAGTTTCTTTTTCGTTCCCAATCCCTCTAGCACTATCGTTTTAGTGATTTAAAGCTTAGGATCATTTATTGCAATAGAATTGAGGGTTTTACCATCAAAAACTTGTAGAGGGTGTTTGCTAGCTAAAAGAGCTTTATTTTGGGATTGTTTAATCAATGCAGTGTATTTATAATCCTTTGTGGTGTCATAATTTCCATAATGTTCGTTGAAGATTTAAGTGATTAGGTATATTAGGGCTTCTCTTTGATTCTTTCTATGTATGATGTTTTTGTAAAAAAAACTAGAGTTTTTATAGTGTTAGATTACCCTAAATAACTTTTATAAGACTTATTAAACATTTGGGGACCTTGGGAAGGTTTTGAGAGTGATTTGGAAAGCTTTCTCGTAAGAAACAGGGCAATCTACAATATAGGTTTTGAAACCCCTGAGCTGGTTTCGAAACCCCTTATCAAGAATACAAAAATTACATTATGGTTTTGAAACCCCTACTCAAAATGTCTAAAAAGGCCTAAAATGTTGCCCGAGAGGTCTTACACCCATAGTATGATCATAAATGGGATCGAATATGTGTAAAACACTAGAATAAGTGTTAAGGAATGTGTTTAAAGGTGGGTTACAACGGATGCAACCATACTAAGCGTAATATGCCCATGTATCTTCAGTCTAGCACGTATACAGATAGTTGAGAACAAAGATTGTTATAGGGGATGTATCAACAAGCGGTGTGATGACTAAGTCAGATTCAGTAATAGTGGAAAGCGTGAGCTTCAAGAACGTCATTGAAACTAGAAAATGTAAGTTATCCCTTTCAGTTTAAGAGGTACGATAAGAATGAATATAGTGTTCCCATTTAGTATTTAACCCGAGTTAGGTACCAGGTCAGTAATTATTACAGACAGCAAGCAACAAACTAAATAATCATAATAAAATCGCGAAACACGTAAAGAATTCTCTAGAGAAATAACTAAAATACCCTAAGTGCTAAAGACCCGATTAGAGCAGCTTAATAAAATATCAACGTTAACAAAATAATAAACCCCAACATAATGTTCTAGTTGAAAGAACGAGCGAGATAACAATTAGTGAGAGGATGACCTCACTTTAGTGTGCACAAGTCACTTCAAGAGCTAGCCAGGACGCGAGGCTCGAACAATTACGAGTAGTGAGTTAGTAGTGTCAGTGTTGTATAGTCTTTAAGCCTTAGATATGCATATATAGTTGTATCAGTCCAGTACTGCAGTTAGTATAAAAGCTTGACTTAAGGTTGTTTGATACCAAGCCAACACTTCAGTTAAATGTGAGCATCCGATGCTATGTGATACTAGAATTCCTTCTCTATGGTATACCTAATGTTATGTGATACCAGGAGATCATCCAACAACTTAGAGGGGTTCTTACCGATTATATGTGATACTAGTACCCCCTCTCAGTAGGTTAGTATATGATGTTGTGTGATACTAGATACTAGTATAGTAAAGCCAATGTTATATTCAGATAATGCACAAGAGTATCAGTATCGCGTTTAGATAACACGTAGCAGTTCAGTCAGTAGGGTTAGAGACCCTTTAAAAGTGTTCTCATGATTAAATCCTTAGCAGAGGGTTTCAGGAAGCATGAGAGCCCTACTTTAGTGAATGAACAGTAAAACCTTTAGTAGGTAGCACTTGACCGAGATCATGCGCGTACCTACTACTTATTACCATATCTTCAACATGCTTATGTTTATGAAATTCTTATGCTGCTCAAAATTAGCTATTATACTATTGACTTTGTAAGCTCAACCTTCGGATATTTTTCGTTGACATGTTAGTAGCTTGGGTAGTTCGTGGAGCACCGTCATAGCAAGACTTCCAACATCTTCTTTATTGTACTGTATTGTAACTTTAGAAGGCATTTGCATTTATAGACCTTACTTATGTATTTAAATTTACAAGAAATTATTTTTTATTGTTTTGGTTTTAAATTATGAGTCACGGAGCTCTGATTTTATAAAATATTTTTATAATAGTTAATTATGTTTTATTTATGTTACTATTCAACATATTTGCAAGGAAAATGAATAGGTTTTGAAAATTAGGGTTGCCTTGATAGCCCAATATGTCACTTTAGGCCCAATTGAGTTTAGAGTGTTACATTTAGTGGTATCAGAGCATCAGGTTGAGTCGGTCCTATGACTAAGTGGTCAGTTTTAGTAAGGTGTTAGTGAATACATACCCCTAGGTACTTAAAGTACTTGTATAAGTTTGGGATCTTGATGGTGCTTCATTCTTTAATCTGTGTTGTAGAGCGTTGCGATGGTCGACAATTCTGAGCGTGGTCTCGAGGATAGGATGGAGAGGCGATCATCTCATCTAGATAACATTAGTAAGGAGTTTCTACCTAGGGCATAGGATCAGGGGGGTCCCATTAGGTATGAATACTGCCATCATCTCATTTCTGATTAATGGATTGTTGTATACTTTATAAAATTGCCATTCTCTGGAGATGTTTCGTTATCATTTGCTGTTGGGGTATATTAAATTTGCTGAGAGAATGAAAAGCATCTAACGAGGATTTGATATGGCAATAGATGTTATTTATCATAAGCAATATTTTGGAAAATGAATACTGAATGCGTAGCAGACACGAGTTGTGACAATATCTGCGAGAATGTTAACTTGATATATGGCAAAATGCAGTTTTCTGGTTATGCCACCAATCGTGATTTAGTTGTTTTTTTGCTTTTGTGTCGACTTTGTGATGTCTGACGCCACTATTTTTCTCGTAGGCAGCTGATACTATCATCATTGTGCCGATGTTTCCTTTTAACCCAACAAAGTTATGCATGTCCTTTTTCCACATAAAATTGTTGCTGATGTAGCTCTCTAGATAAGGGTTGATTTGGTTGATCTAGTGCTTAACTGTTTGACATTAAGATATAGCTCTCTTTATTTTTTTGGGTTTGATAAGAAAGTATTTTTTTGGAAAGTTTTCTAACTTAGAAATGTATTTGATCTTGCTTTGCAGTACTTTATAAAGACAGGAACTTGCAAATACGGGTCAACATGTAAATATCATCATCCAAATGACATGATTGGGGCTGGACCTGTTATATTTAACATTCTTGGTCTACCTATTCGTCAGGTGCTTTATTGTACTCTTCTTTGATTTGCTTTCTTGACTGTGTTTTCTCATGGAGTCATGTTGTCTCTATATATTTCAGGATGAAAAACCATGTCCTTATTACATGCAGACTGGATCATGCAAATTTGGAATTGCATGCAAGTTCCATCATCCCCAGCCTGCATCACCTGGGGCTGGCTTACCTGTAAATGGACCTGTTAGATCATTGATTTTGCCACCCTCAAATCTACCATATGCTGGTGGTTTAACCACATGGCCATTACCTAGGGCACCTTATGTCTCTGGCCCGCGATTACACAGCCAAAGCTACATGCCTGTTATTGTTTCTCCTTCCCAAAGCATGATCCCTACACTTGGCTGGAGCACCTACATGGCAAGTGAATACCTCTTATTTTGAGTACTATCTCCCTGAATTTCTGGCTCTGATATATCGTGTGGTATATAATTTTGATCTTCTTAAAATTTTGTTTCACTTTACCTTCAGATTGCTAAATTTAATGTTGTTTTCTCATTTAACTGGATAAGAGAATCATGTGATAGGGGAAGATCTTTGCATCTTAGATAATAAAATATTAGTCTTGATTTTACAAGTGGTTTATGAACTTTTCTTAACTTGGAGACTTGGATGTGCATCATTTTCAATTGACTGGTTCTAATCTAATGTTGTAATTGTCATTTCCATGACTGCATCCTTACAACATTTATGTAACATGATAATGTTATTTTCAAATGGTTACGAACTAGTTCACACTGGAAGTGACTGTCATTAGAGATACAATGATAAAATGACAAAGTCTTAACTTCATTGCATAAGCTCAATTTTAAGTCACTTCGGTTCTCTTCAGTTTTGTTCAAATGTTGTCTGAGCTGCTTGTTGAGTGAATCTGAAAAAGTTTATATTATTATTATTTATTTATGTTCTTCATTATTAAAAAAGGTAATGGTTTTCTTTCTCTTCCTCTTTCTTCTAGTAAGCTAGAAATGATTAACTTTGTTTTGTTCTTTCTTACTTTCCTTAGTATGAAAATAATACTGCCAGCGTGTCTAAAGTTTGTCATGTCTTTTGAGTCTCTGAAGTGGTATGTTATTGACTGCTACTTTCTGATATCCTTATATAGCGTAACCCATATACTGTAGATTGCCTTATGTAAAGTATTCAACAGCATCCTGCGACTACAACGCCTTATGCAACGTGCTATTCTGATTTTTTGGTAGGTTGCTCTTGTCAATTAGAATTTCTTCTTTTGTTCTTATTCCCTTATTTTATTCTGATCAGGGAACTAAACCCTGTATCTTCTGCTGGTGTTGTTGGATCCAGTTTGGCTTACAAGTCGGTGAATCCAGCCGAGTCAGGTTCTGGTGGACAGCTGCTCTTGATGCTTCAAGTTTTCCTGAAAGACCCGATCAACCAGAATGCCGGTATTACATGAGCACTGGCACTTGCAAATATGAATCTGATTGCAAGTACCATCATCCAAAGGAAAGGATTGCAAATTCAGCAGTAAATGGTATTGGCCCACTCGGGCTTCCTTCAAGGCCTGTAAGTTTCCAGTCTATTTTGCAGATGGTCAGGTATCTAACTAGATATTCATTAGGTTGATTCTGTTCAATTGCATCGATCATTATTGGTTTGGTTGCCATATATAATGTAAATATATTTCTTTTTGCCAAATAATAGTTTTAATTATTTCGTGTTCTTCTACATGTAGGGGCGAGCTGTATGTTCTAGCTACACTATATATGGACTCTGCAAATATGGGCCTACTTGCAGATTTGATCATCCTTATGTGGGATATCCTTATAATTATGACCCAAGTCTTCCTTCATCTGTGTTCGATTCATCTGGTCTAACATATCAAAGAATGTCACCAACAGCCCATTTGTCAAAAACTCCTCTGCCATCAAAGCTTACTGATTGGGCACGGAAAACCACTCTGTGAATAAGAAGCATCAGAACACGGAGACGAAGAATTCCGATGACCCTGCTGAGCAGGCAGCTTCACCAGATTCTTTGCAGATTTCTTCGAAAACTTCACAGGAAGATTAAACTGATTTAATCAATCATTTCATTATCTCTTGTTAGTTCATACCCTTCCAAGGAGTTTTTTTGTTTCATGATATGTACCTCCTGCACCCCTTTCACCTGTGATCCGGCTGAATGATATAGGTGGTTTGAATATTCGCTACAAGCAAAATTCGGGGGGGGAGACATTTTCCTTTTTGCTTTTGTGGTGAATAAAACGCAGGTGAATATATTGGATCGTTTTCTGTATCGGTAGCCGTTAGAATGTTTTTGGTTTGATCATGATGGTTGCTGAGCCTTACAAGCTTAGCCGGCCGGAAGTGAACCGATTAAGAACCAATGGTTGGATGGTTTTGTTATTTTTCTGCTTTAACATTGACTTGAGTACCTATTGATGTCCATTTATAGGAGCCTGGATTTTTGTTAGTCATGTAATATGCATATCCAAGAACTGAGTCCCACGCGGGTGAAAAATTATGGTTTGGTCTGAATATCAGACCTTAAATCTCTTAAGAATTGAGGATATAATCTGGTTTAATTATATTGTTGTCAATCACTCTCTCTGGGCGGAGGTTATGTCATTAAAATCTCTAAATGGTAGTGAATTGATACCTTCCTAAATATGGAATAATATTTTATTTCTCTTAAAATTAAATATCCTTTCCATCGACTTCACGGCAAAGGCATCCGTAATTCTGTTATGTGTCCGCTTCAACATTAATTTCAGATAACCCCATCCGGACCGCTTGCTAGATAGCCATCATTGCTGGCTTCAGCATCCGCTTCCTCTTAATATATATTTTAATTTAATTTATAAATTATTATATAAAAAATAAAATTATACATTATTTTAATTTATTTTTAGATTAACTACATGATCAGTTATATTTTTTATTTGTCTATTTTTCCTCATTGATTTCAAAAAAATATAATATATGATCACTTTTATTTTTATGTAATTAAAATGTGGTCACCATGAGTTAATTGTTGTTAGTAGATTAGGTGACATGAAAGTTAAATATTTTGGTATAATTACACATTTGATCTTTGGTTTTTTACATTCTCACAATATATTCTTACTTTCAATAAATTAAAATAAATTTAATCATCCAATCGAATAATGTTACGTGTCCCCATTCGATTGGAGGACTAATCTTATTTTAATTTAATATATTTATTTTTCATCAATCGTAAAACATTTCACCATTACCCTTTTGCTGAAACAGAACAAAGCAAAGTAAATTAAAGCTAAAATGATTTGAATCTAGGTTTCTTGTGAAACCAAGAATGTACTTAACCACCAAGTTAAGACCAATGATGTATATATTTTGTATCTTAGTGTATAGATACTTAATTTAAATTCATAATATTATATATATTTATTGTAATAAATATTTTGTTATATTAACTTATTAAATATATATTTTATTATTAACTTAATTTAAAAATATTTTATTTTTTTGCACGAACCGAGCGACCTCAATAGTAAAGGAATGTTGTTATTCCTTAAGGTCCCGAGTTCGAACATCAGAAATGTCAGGGGTGTAAGAATTCTATGTCAAATGGTTGAGAATTATCTTTGAACATATATTATCTTGTATTTACTACATATTAATAAAAATTTTATTTTTATTTTTATTTAAAAATATTTTTTATTCTTATTTAAAAATATTTTTTATTCTTATCTAAACCTTTAAAAATATATGTTATTATTATTATTATTATTTTTACTTTCAAAGAATATATTTTATCTTAATTTATTAAATATATTATATTATTACTTTAAATCATTAAATATATTTTAGGGTAAATTACGTGTGTAATACCTAAATTATCAGTTTTGGTCTATTTTAGTAATTAAACCTTCAACATTTTCAAAATCATATATAAAGTTTAATTTTGTTTCATTTTAGTACGCTGCCTTTATAAATTTTAGTTTTTGTTTCATTTTAGTATTCTAGTTCAAAATTTAACTTATTTTTTTTAAAAAAAATTAAAAGTTTAGGTACTAAAATGAACCAAAATTGATAGTCCAGGTACCAAACGTGTTAAGTTTTTAACAGCAGGTTACTAAAATGAAATGAAAATTAAACGTTAGGTATGATTTTGATTTTTTTTGAAGTTTAGGTACTAAAATGAACCAAAACTGATAGTTTAAGTACTAAATGCATAATTTACCCTATATTTTGTTCTTATCTTAACTTTAAAATATTTAACATAAAATATATATTTTTAAATAAAAATAAAAATAAAAATATTTTTAAATTAAGTTAATAACAAAACATATTCAATAAATTAATAAAATATATTTTCTAAAGCTAATATATATATATTATGAATTTATTTTAAGTATTTATACATTAAGATACAAAATATATACATCAAATTGTTTATTTTAGATTAAGCATTGGTCTGGGCTTAATGGGTTGGTACATGTTTGGATTTCCAAGTGACACATGACATCATTCGATTGAATGATTAAATTTATTTTAATTTATTAAAAATACGACTAAATTGAGAAAATATGCAAATAATACGGATCAAATGTGTGATTATACCAAAATATTTAACTGTCACATCACATAATCTTTTAATTGTTAACGACAGTTAACCCGTGGTGACCACATTTTAATTAAATAAAAACAAAAGTGACCATATATTATGTTTTTTAAAATCAATGAGAAAAAACAGATAAAATACAAACATAAGTGTAGTTAACATTTTAATTTTTATATTTCAAAAATAAATATATTAATCAATTTCCATATTAGATTAATACAATATTATATATTCATAATATGTAAATATAAAATGAAGTTGTCATTAAACTAAATTAAATCATTTCTTGAATAATATGGAATGAATATAAAATAACAATAATTCTTATTAATTATTGAAAATGAATACATACCTTACAAATATAATTATTTAAATTTGAAACTTATAAAAAGAATAATACTTTATTTTATTATTAAGATCGTTTAATGGTTTATCATATTCTTATTTATATAATTATACAAAATTTAAATATATATTACATTACACATTTGATTAAAATTAATGTATAATTTTAATATTTATCCTCACCTTTATTTCAAAGTAAATCATTGATGACCTTTTGGTACCCTTTTAATTATTGTAAAGGTGCTTATAGACCAGCTTGAATTAAATTGCAGCTTGAAAAGTTTTAAAAGTTTCATCTAAATTGAAATTAGGTTAATCTGATCGTTCAAGATTTCATTATTTAATAAAATACTAATAAAATTTTATTTTAAATTATGTAAATTTATCACTATGGTTCAAGTGAGATCAACCTGAATAAATAAAGTCGATCTAATTTTGTCTATTCATTAAATTCAGATATTGTTTGATAATCATTAGCATTTGAGTGTATGTGTAATGATCACTTAATCATAATTATCAGGTCGAACAGAATAAAACATTAAATGTTGTAAAAAAGAAGAAGAAGATTGAATTGAGAAAATTATCTTCAAAATTTGTTGTTTGTTTTACATCGTTTATTTCCAAGTTAGTTTTCATATGCATTCCCATCTAGCTGCTATTTTGGAGCTACGTTTTCAGTATGCTCTGATGGAGACAAACGTAAAAAATATGTCAAAGAATATCATTTTCTTTTGTGCAAACATGGTATTGGCTCGTGCATTCTCTGCATTGGCTTGAACGTCCATCTCTTCAAATAAAAACGTTGTAATTTATAACTGTTATTAAGAAATCGTGGCAGTTTGGGAAATCTTCCAAAAGTTAATGCATATCGAAATATAGGAAAAAATGGTCCATTTGATCCCTTTTTATAGACCAATTTTTTTGTCTGTTGACAAAGTGATGTTCTCAATAGCTTTCTCATGTGAATGCTTTGATTTTGTTCTTATTTGGGTTTTTCCGCTGCTATAAAATTTCTGCAAACATTGGGGTTGTTGAAACAGGAATAAAAAAACATATATCATGGAGGTATCCAACAGTGCAATAACATGCATTACAATTCTAATGGTTCTTCTCTGTGGGTCAGCAGCTGGAATTCGAAAAGCCTTGAAAGCTCAAGAGAATGGCATTGGGATGGCTGCAATGGCTCCTTCATCTGATGAAGGTATTTGCAAATCAGTGGTGGAAACTCATGGTTATCAATGTGAAGAACACACGGTAAGTCCCTCCAAGAATATACCAACCGTTGGATTTTCCTCGGTTTAATCAAAGTTTCTTGTTGGTTTTTTTTAGGTAACTACGGGAGATGGTTACATTCTCAGTATGCAAAGAATTCCCGTGGGTCGGTCGGGTGGGACACCAGGAACCGGAACCAGACCACCGGTTCTGTTACAGCACGGGCTCTTAATGGTTGTTTGTTTTGTCATGTTTCTGAGATTCTCTAATGCAAGAATTTCGACAAAAAAATAAATAATATTTGACAAGGGTTTTGCTGTTTTGCATGATGTCAGGATGCAATAACGTGGCTGTTATTGCCTCCGGAACAGTCTTTGGCATTTGTCTTGTCGGATAATGGCTACGATGTCTGGCTTGCTAACTCACGTGGAACAAAGTACAGCAAAGGCCATACATCACTCACTCCTAACGATCCGGTTATTGTTTCACTCTATTTTTCATTATGTTTTCAAGCTTTCTGTTATGGGTTTTGATCATTAGGTTGATTCTTTGCTGGTTTTTAGGCTTACTGGGATTGGTCGTGGGATGAATTGGTAGCTTATGATCTTCCTGCAACAATCCAATATGTTTATGATCAAACAGGACAAAAGCTTCACTATGTGGGACACTCGCAGGTGATTTTTTTCCCCCAATAGTTTCTTAAGGTGGGGCAATGGGAGAAGTTTAATATTGTTTTCACTTTCAGGGAACATTGATCGCTTTGGCTGCGTTCTCAAAGGATGAGGTGTTGAACATGTTGAGATCAGCTGCTTTGCTTTGCCCTATTGCTTATATGGGTCAGTTGACTTCCCCACTTGCAAAAATTGCAGCTGATGACTTCATTGCTGAGGTAAAACCAATTCCTAGTTTCTGTGTCCATATTCAAGCATGGACCGACTAGGCGTTTTTTAAAATTTTAAATCTTTATATATTTTAGATATATTTTTTATATTTTATGTCCCATAAGATTTATATTCATATTGAAGACAACTATTTCTTTGTTTTCTTCTCCCTTTGACAGACAGTCTACTGGTTAGGCCTCGATGAATTTGACCCACGAGGGTAAGAACCCCACCTCTATTGTTTGCGGGAAATGAAAAAAGTTGGAGCAATGTGGGATTTAAGTTCATATTTGTTTCCTATGAACAGGGAGGCAGTAGTTAAACTTCTGAAAGAAATCTGCGGTAAACCAGGCGTTGATTGCAGTAACCTTTTGACCAGTTTTACAGGTACAAGTACAACTACAAATTAATACTACCAATTATTAAAGGCAAGCTGTTGCTGAGTTAAAAACTCGTTTGGACATACATTTGTAGGTCAGAATTGTTGCTTGAACTCTTCCATAGTAAATATGTTTCTAGATCATGAGCCTCAACCATCGGCAACAAAGAACATGGTCCATCTGGCTCAGAGTAAGTAATCCATAAACCCTTTTGGAACAAACCACCGACATTTCCAGTTTTAAGAACATCTCTGCTGAAAATTTTCTGGGGTTGATTTACCAGTGATTAGGCAAGGGACCATAACAATGTACGATTACTACGACGTGGTCGAAAATATGAAACATTATGGGCAACCGACGCCTCCTGCATACAACATGACCGGCATTCCGAATGACTTTCCTCTTTTCGTCAGCTATGGAGGGGCGGATGCTCTTGCAGATGTAAATGATGTGAAGCTGTTGCTGGGAAGCCTGAAAGATCATGATGGAGACAAGTTTGTGGTTCAGTTTAGAGACGATTATGCTCATGCAGATTATGTCATGGCAGAAAATGCTAAACAACAAGTATATGATCCTTTAATCGCCTTCTTTAGGCTGCAGTAGTCAATATATACATACACAGAGAGAGATATTTAAAGAAAAAGCTTCAATCGATCTGTTTCATCTTCTTTTCACTTGTAGTTTAACTGTATGCAGTATTAATTGAAGATGACATAATTTACAAGTATAGAGTATTGAATCTATTGATCACAGAAATCATAACTATAATGGAACAAAAACCTTCTGCCCTTTATGTGCCCCTATATACGTCCAACCAATAATTTAATACAATGTGTATCAATGAAATTTACTCAACTTAACCAAACTTTTCCGTCAACTTTCTTTTACCCTAACTTTGTTTTTGCCATCATTGTTTACCTCCTTCATCTTCCTTTAGTCGAACAACTCAGTTGTTCGTTTATGAAGCGAAGCAATGAATTGCATTGTTTCTTCTTCATTGTTTGGAGCTTTATCTGACAACCCTACCTTGTTAAAATAAGCTGTCATTTTTAAAAAGATCACAGAATTAAATTAATCGAACTTGGATTTCAAAGATAGAGTGAATTGTATGATAAAATGATTACGTTGTTCAAATTCTTGGATTTGTTGGATGTCTAATTTCAAATTCATGTTTTTGTGTCTTTCAATAATCCAATTTCATAACTAATTTATACTTTAGATATTCATTACATTCTCAACATTTACATGACAAATGATATCTAAACCCATAATCGCATATTCTTGCTTCCAAATTTGTTTTAGCAGCGTTTGAGAACATAAATATCAGATTTGATTTTGAAAATAATATTAATCGAGTAATAGCACACGTATAAATGTGTGAATCCCACAAGTTCATGTTTCTTATAAAGTTCCAAAGAGTGGAGAAGAAAGGAGTGAAGAAGAAATAAAGCAATTCATTGCTTCACTTCATATTCATAAACGAAAAACTGAGTTGTTCGACTAAAGGAAGGTGAAGGAGGTAAACAATTGAGGGTAAAAAAAAGTTAAAGTAAGTTGACGGAAAACTTTGGTTAAGTTAATTAAAATTAGTTAATACACATGGCATTAAATTATTGGTAGAAGTTTTTGGTTCACAATAAAGTTATACAGTAAACTATATATTATATGTTACAATATATCATGTCATACGAAAGTTTCGTCTTATAATCCTTGAAGTATTCCAGTTCGTTCCATAGTGGTATTACAGACTGCATGCCATTATAGTGCATTACGAATTACACGTAATCGAGTATGTATACATATATATGAAGTGTGAACAAATAATTTGGTTTGCACAAGTAATCGAGTAAGTATATATATATATATATATATATATGAGAGTAACCAGATTGCCAATCGTACGGCCAAGTTGGCATTCACGGGCTAAGACTTCAATTAAGGACGAACATAAGATTTTATATTAACATGATGAATCTGTAAATTTTTAGAGGGATACGGATTTATAAAATATTAATGAACGATAAAAAAATATGTAAGATATTTGAGGATACAGCTGATGTATGGTTCCCACGCTTAGCACCAATTGTAATGCATGAGGGTTTTGTGACTGGTAAACTTTAGCCAAAAGAAATGAATATATTTCATTACAAATGAAGCTGATGGGAAAGGAGAAAATATTGATATTGAAATTACAATCAATGAATATATATATGAATGAACAGCATGCATGTAATAGAGAGGTTGCAGAGAAATGAAACATGTGCCATGTATGTTAATTAGAAAACATAGCTAAAAGAGGAGGAATGAGATGATCGGAGATGATTTTGTTGGTCTTTTCGGTTGGATGAAAAGCATCCCAGAATACATATTTATTCGCATCACTGCATGTGAACGGAGTGTACTGACTACATAGGTAACCCATCTCGAACGTCCCCGTCGAACAACACGCCACTTCCGTCACCTCAAACCCTGCAAATAACATTTCTCTTTTTGTTCACTGGATGCATGCTCTAAAATGATATGATCGAGTTTAATCCAATCGTATTATAGAAAATTTTCTACTATTTTAATGAGTTTTCAAGTGATTAATTAATGCAAAAAATGATCAAAGAAGTGGTTCAATGCGCCCGCTAGCATCTTTCCTTTGCCGGTACGGTCAATAAATAAACGAAAATGCAGTGAAAGAGAAACTTACCGAACTGAGAAGGTTTCGTGATGATTTGCTAGAAAATATCATACGCAGATGCAGACACCATTCGCATTCCAGGGAGTTGTTTGTTCAGTTTTACCACCAGGCCTTCCAATTTCCTGTTGAATTCGGATGCCACATTGTTGTACTCGGGTACACAGTCGTTTTGGCCCAGGATGTTGGTAGCCCGCTCCAGCGGCAAACACCCCATCGGAGGAAGGCCGGTGATCGACAGTTTCCGGACGCCGACACCGTGGAGTTCCCTTACGAAGCTCTCTCCCAGTTCCAGAAGGAAATCCCGGTATTGCCTCACTGAGAACTGGGATCTTCGGGTGGGAAAAGTGTAGTAATTTTCTAGGAAATCATTCGTCCCTAAGCTCATCAGATACAAAGCTTCTCTCAGAATCCGATTTCCCTTCTTTTCACCGACGTATGCTCTCAATTGTCGCTGGTACTCTTTATAATACTCCATTTCCTTCCACAGTGGGATCACATTCTGCAAAACAATAAAAGTAACTTCATTGATCTCTGGGTTTCATAGAATATATATAGTGGCTTACGAGTTACAACTTACAAGCACGTTGGAGGTTGCGTTGTCGTAGCCAGTTCCAGCTGATGCAAAGCAGACACCGGTGGCGAAATCCGATATATTATAAGCCGGATCCAAGTAAGCTGGGATGGCCAGCTTGAGTCCAAAAGCTTCGGAGATGAAATCTGGGGGTATTCGGCCATTGCAGAAGCGTCCGGTTGGTTGACCGCCGTAAAAATCACGGCCGTAAGGCTGGAAATTGCTCTTCAAAAGCGTGGAAATCACGTTATTGTTTCCAGAATCGACGGAGGAGTCTCCGAACACTATGACGGCTGGAACTTTAGCTTTGGTTTAAGTGAAAAGTGTTAGTGCCGATAAAGATAAGCAGAGGCAAATAAGAAATGGGATACTACTGCAAGACATTTCACCTTCACTGCAAGCATATCAGACAGCTTACGAGACTGGAATCGATCCAATGTCTAAAAGGAAATCAAAATTTTGCCATGTTTGATCGGCAAATGACAACATATTAATTATTTTTTATGTTTAATATGGAGGAAGGTTTGGTGGAGAGTTTTAATGGAAATAATTAAAGGATGTATTTACTGCACCACCTACTATTTGTATGTATATCTCATATCTTATCAATATTTTTATTAATTGAAATAATATTGAAATAAAAAACCTAAAAAAACTAAATTTATATCACATCTTATCAATGTTATAGCTTTTACTTGTGTGAAAAATTAATATTAATAAAATTTAAATTCATATATTTATAATTTCTGTTTATAATAATTTAAATTGTATATATAAAATTTACATTTTGATAATATTAATTCAATCTAATTTTTCGAAGAGAAATGTGGTGAGAGACTTGAAAGAGTGGGTGCAAGCTTTAAAGGCCGCATGGGATTGGGAAAAATGACAGTCTCGACATCTAAATCTGAAACCATTAATGGCTTCCTTCCCTCAACAAAGAAAGAGGCTTTGATTTGCTGCACTTTACTACTCTGATTATATTTTCTTATTTTTTTTTCATATAAAATACACAAAATTATTTTAAAATGAATTTTTTAACGTTTAAATTCACAAGTTGTAAAGTCATCATTTAACTTTTCAAATCATTATCAAATTTTATTATACTATTATATATTTCTTTTAAACTTATCGAACAATTACAGGATGATTCTTTATTATTATTTTATTAAGCAAATTAAAACATTTTTTTAATATATTATCCAGGCATGGATGTGAGTCCATGTTTGCATCAGAAATGGACCTTGTTGGCTCGAAAGTCTGTTGGGTCATCTCTTGTTTCTTTCCAATTGGCAGACGCCAGCAAATGCGTAAGATTAAAGACCCAACACAGCGCGCATTTTAGAATAGCACGCTAAGATTAGTGTCTACCGCGCCTTATCCTACGCGCCCCATTCCGGTTAGTATATAAGCAAATTAAAAGCCCAGGAATTAAAATGTTTTGCATTATTTTCCTTTTGTAGTTGATCCAGTCATTTCAGGAGAATATTCCTTCTCCAAAGGAGAAAATTCTCAATGTGTGTCCTTTTTGTCATCCATATTCTGCCGTAATTCTTGATATTAAAGGTTAATTTACTCGTAATAATTTGTCCAATTTAGCAATAAAATTTGAACAAAAAAGAAAGCAATAAAATTTGGGTTTTGGTTCTTTTAACGTGTAAATGGAAATCTGGGTGGTCTAATTCCATTGCAAACTGCCTTTATTTAAAAAGACTTCAATTTGAAGGTAGCTATTTGTTTTTAGTTTAAAAGGAAAAAATTTCGTTTATGATTATGGTCCATGGATATCTTTTGCTTTGAAGAGTGATTAAAAGTTTCTCTTGTTCTTCGTTTTCTTTTATGTTTGCTGTGATAGGGCAACATGGAAGAGCAAGTAAATATGGTGAATGTGACTGTCATATGGAGAGGAAACAAGTATACGGTGCAAATGGGTTCTGGTGCAAATCTCAAGGAGCTAGGCGATGAGCTGCGGAAGTTGACTGATGTTAAGGAGAATACTATGCGCCTCATCGTTCCTCTTTTTTCGGGCAAAGGCTCGAGAATGCTTCACCCTTTCTCGATGAACATTCTTGCTTGAGTTTGCAGGAGGCTTCACTTTTCATGGTATTGATCATCCCTTTTAGTGTATATATTTATGATTGTGTTTATAGTTTAATGCTAAATAGAATAAAATAGGCATTGGCCAAAAATAAATAAAGCCGTCCCATCATTTCATCTGTTTGCAACGAGAGGCAATTCATGAATTTGCTAATAGGCTGATATCTATGCGTCGAATTTTATGTTAGAGTTGAAACTCGTTTTATGATTTCTAAATGCTGGAGAATGTTTTGTTATTTTTCTTTTAGA